CCTCCATTTGAGTCGCAACCGAAACCTCTTGCTCAAAAAGGGTCTGCCCATGAATCTCAGGGACCGGTGAGGTCGACATGGCGCAAGCCCTTCGGTTGCCACACATCTCTCCGCACACACAGCTGGTCCCCATCCATCTTCCGGCTCATTCGGGTGGGTCTTCCTTTCGTGAATCAAAAGGACACCTAGAGGATCACCACCATGTTTCATTTTGGTGGCTCTTCTTTCCGTTTCTCAAAAAAAAACCAGGGCAAAACAACTTAAGCCACCCGGCTGAGGCCCTGACACAGCTCCCTTCCGCCCAGCAGAAGCTGCGCCGGAGCGAAGCAAACTGCCGCGGCCGGCCACGGCAGCGTCAGGGTGTGGCATCGAAAGGCCACGCTGGGCCTCGCGAGCTCTCGGTGGAAACCTCCGACGCAAGTGGAGCCTGACGGGTCCTGGTTTGGACCATTTTCCTGTAGGGACCGGGTCCCTAGCAGGTTCCATGGACAGGAGGCGATATTCTCGAGATAAACAGGTCGACACCTCCAGCATCACATTTGCAGTGGATGCATGGATGGCAGGAGGGAGCTATGCAAATGCTTGAGACCTGTACCTTTGAAAACCCCTTTTGAGTCAGTTCACATTTCAAGTACAAACCCATATGAGCGGCGCCCCCAAACCTCCGGTGGAAAATTCCGGTGGGGCGTTTTTGTAGGTGGCTCTACGGTTTTCATAAGGGCTACAGCTCATAAACCTGTTTAACCAGGTGAATAGAACCGGAAGTCACTGGGTTTTGGGCGCTGGGCGCTGCTCATACTGGGTTCCCCATCTGCTCTTGCCCAAGTTCCCACGAGCCCTCCAACTTCATGGTTGTCAAAGAAAAGCTACGACATCCGAAACCAGGATGAGCGATTTTCCCCAAAATGGGCGTGTGTTTTGTATTTTTGTCTTCTCCGCAGCCTTCGTGAAGGTCCAACTTCGAAGCTGGGCGGCAAGGGTGTTGCCAAAGTTGGATTTGGGAAGACTGACGTGCAACACAGTGACACAGACGCGCCACACACGCAACGCGACGGAATTCCTTGCATGTTCCAAGGCAAAACTCGCGCACATCAGAATGCACTGAACTTCTGACCTTGAAATTGCCAGGGCATGCCAAAAATTGCTACAATGTGTGCTCGTGTTGCGTGTGTGTTGCATGTGCGTTGCATGTGTGTCACATGCCAAGGCGAGGATTACGTTCCTTTGCAGTCAGAGAGAAGGAGAGGGTGTATTTCACTCCCAGAGGACTTGGGCGTTCGCCCGGGGCTTCGGCAGCGCCGGAAGATGGGGCGCCATGTGAATTGGGCACGGGCGGGTCCAAGGCGCGCTTAGACGCAGAAATTGTCCAAAGTCAAGAAAGACCCGCGCGCGTTGAGTTCTCCCCAGGCGTCGTTTGCCAAACCTCCTTCCCGGGTCTGCGAAGTTTCACGCCCCTCTCGCCCAAGTATCGTCCCCACGCACGCCCCAGCCCCCGAACTTCTATGTTGCCAAACGCCGTGAAAAAAGAATGGGGCGCGTTTCCGCGGGCTTCGTGAACAATGTCAACTCCAACTTTCAACTTGGGTGGCAGGGGGGTTGCCGCCCTGTTGTCAAAGTGCTTTGCTTTTTTTTTCTCCGCAGAAGCCAGTATGGGTTCGTCTCAGAATAGGGAACCTTCCAAAAATAAGAAATTATCTTCGGTGTCCGGCCGCAAAACAGGCACAAGCTCTCTCTCGCTCGCCGTCTCTCTCTCTCTCTCTCTCTCGCTCGCTCGCTCGCCATCTCTCTCTGCGTCTCTCTCGCTCTCTCTCTCCCCGAACTGCTACAGAATCCAAATAACTTGTTTCCGCACCTTTTTCTGAACGAACTGTCCTTTGAGCGCCCAACACCCCTTGCCTTTCGCGGTTAGAAAAAAGCGGACCATACCCCAGCAAGAGGCGGAAGAACCCCTCCCCCCAAAAGACAAAAAATTGCGAACTCCGACAATTTTGACCAGAAAGACCAGAAGAAGACCCCCCCCCTTTTGGACCCCACCCCCATCCCCCCCCCAACCCCCCCCCCCCCCTTTTTTGGGGGAAAAAAATCCGCGGCCTGTCCGAGGCGAAGATCCGCACCTGCTGCCCCTCCAGCACCGCCAGTGCCAAGCTCTGAGGGTGCCAGGCCTCGACTCGTTCGAGCGCTCGCGCCAGCGAGGATTTTCTCGCATCGGAGAGTTGGGGGATTTGTTTCAGGAAACCCCTGAAAACTTGCGGGTGGGGAATTTGGGAATGAACCCAAAAAACTCCCTTTAAAGGAAACCACAAGGGATAGTTCATAGCGGTCATTCCCTCATTGCCTGCCTATCGCGCCAGCAAGAAAATATCCTCCTACAAATTGACATGGAGCCTGATGTTTTGGGGTCCGGAAGAAGACCGTGTTCCTTTTAAAGGGACCGGGTCCCTGTCGGGTTCCATGGTTCATTGGTGGGAGGGTAAGTGTCTTCGCTTGGACGCAAATTCATCTGAGCATGTCTCTGTTTGAGTTGGTGCCCCCTGTTCTACGTTTGGGGGGGGGGGGGGAATTTGAAGGGACACCAAAATACAAAAGAAGCCTTTCCGTGTGGGGGGGTGAAACACGGCACGGAAGCCGACAACCCCATCTGAGGCATGGTCAATATCTATTGTGCACTGTAACATGGGATTTTGGTGCACACGAGCCCATGTCCTCCCTTGCTACAAGTTACTAAGTATATGATGGTAAACATGTTCATCGTTCTCAGAAAGTGTCCATGAACAAGCCGCTGCTTCCCACTGTTTCTCCCAAATAGTAGACCCGCTTTTGGTATTTAAAGGCAAAACCCAACAGCCCCCCCTTTTGGGAAATGGACCAAGTCCTATTTCGAGAAGCACTCATATAATTATGGACGCTTGGTATTCAAAGGGGAATATGATGGGACACCTTGCTTGGTGTTTTAAGGCGAGCCCAATGAAAACCCACCATTTCAACAATTTCAGGGGACTATCTCGAAAAACATACATATCATGGACGCCTTTTGATTGGCTTTGATATAAAGGGGAACCCAACGGAAAACAAGCATGTCCATGATTTCGGGGGACTATTTCGAGAAACACCCATATGATGGACGCCTTTTGCTTGGTATTGACTTGGCAGTCTAGTGGAAACCAGCCCACCTTAACAATTTCAAGGGACTATTCGAAAAAGCACCCAGAGGAGGACGCCCTTTGCTTGGTAAGGGCAAATAACCCATGCATCAGAGGATTGTTTCGCAAAAACACCCATATGATGGGCGCCTACTGCTTGGTATTCAAAGGGGAATTTTGTGGAAACCTACCATTGTAATCATTTCAGAGGACTATTTCGAGAAAAAATAGATGGACGCCTTTCGCTCGGCATTCAAAGGGGAACCCAATGGAAACCCACCATTTTAACAATTTCAGGGGACTATCTCGAAAAACATACATATCATGGACGCCTTTTGATTGGCTTTGATATAAAGGGGAACCCAACGGAAAACAAGCATGTCCATGATTTCGGGGGACTATTTCGAGAAACACCCATATGATGGACGCCTTTTGCTTGGTATTGACTTGGCAGTCTAGTGGAAACCAGCCCACCTTAACAATTTCAAGGGACTATTCGAAAAAGCACCCAGAGGAGGACGCCCTTTGCTTGGTAAGGGCAAATAACCCATGCATCAGAGGATTGTTTCGCAAAAACACCAATATGATGGGCGCCTACTGCTTGGTATTCAAAGGGGAATTTTGTGGAAACCTACCATTGTTTCCTTTTCAGCAGGACTATTTTCGAGAAAAAATAGATGGAGCCCTTCGCTCGGCCATTCAAAGGGGAAACCAAAGGAAACCCACCATTTTAACAATTTCAGGGGACTATCTCGAAAAACATACATATCATGGACGCCTTTTGATTGGCTTTGATATAAAGGGGAACCCAACGGAAAACAAGCATGTCCATGATTTCGGGGGACTATTTCGAGAAACCCCATATGATGGACGCCTTTTGCTTGGTATTGACTTGGCAGTTAGTGGAAACCAGCCACCTAACATTTCAAGGGATATTCGAAAAGCACCAGAGGAGGACGCCTTTGCTTGGTATGGGCAATAACCCATGCATCAGAGGATTGTTTCGCAAAAACACCAATATGATGGGCGCCTACTGCTGGTATTCAAAGGGATTTTGTGGAAACCTACCATGTTTCCTTTTCAGAGGACTATTTCGAGAAAAAATAGATGACGCTTTCGCTCGGCATTCAAGGGGAACCCATGGAAACCCACATTTTAACAATTTCAGGGGACTATCTCGAAAAAGAATATCATGGACGCCTTTTGATTGGCTTTGATATAAAGGGGAACCCAACGGAAAACAAGCATGTCCATGATTTCGGGGACTATTTCGAGAAACACCCATATGATGGACGCCTTTTGCTTGGTATTGACTTGGCAGTCTAGTGGAAACCAGCCCACCTTAACAATTTCAAGGGACTATTCGAAAAAGCACCCAGAGGAGGACGCCCTTTGCTTGGTAAGGGCAAATAACCCATGCATCAGAGGATTGTTTCGCAAAAACACCAATATGATGGGCGCCTACTGCTTGGTATTCAAAGGGGAATTTTGTGGAAACCTACCATTGTTTTCCTTTTCAGAGGACTATTTCGAGAAAAAATAGATGGACGCCTTTCGCTCGGCATTCAAAGGGGAACCCAATGGAAACCCACCATTTTAACAATTTCAGGGGACTATCTCGAAAAACATACATATCATGGACGCCTTTTGATTGGCTTTGATATAAAGGGGAACCCAACGGAAAACAAGCATGTCCATGATTTCGGGGGACTATTTCGAGAAACACCCATATGATGGACGCCTTTTGCTTGGTATTGACTTGGCAGTCTAGTGGAAACCAGCCCACCTTAACAATTTCAAGGGACTATTCGAAAAAGCACCCAGAGGAGGACGCCCTTTGCTTGGTAAGGGCAAATAACCCATGCATCAGAGGATTGTTTCGCAAAAACACCAATATGATGGGCGCCTACTGCTTGGTATTCAAAGGGGAATTTTGTGGAAACCTACCATTGTTTTCCTTTTCAGAGGACTATTTCGAGAAAAAATAGATGGACGCCTTTCGCTCGGCATTCAAAGGGGAACCCAATGGAAACCCACCATTTTAACAATTTCAGGGGACTATCTCGAAAAACATACATATCATGGACGCCTTTTGATTGGCTTTGATATAAAGGGGAACCCAACGGAAAACAAGCATGTCCATGATTTCGGGGGACTATTTCGAGAAACACCCATATGATGGACGCCTTTTGCTTGGTATTGACTTGGCAGTCTAGTGGAAACCAGCCCACCTTAACAATTTCAAGGGACTATTCGAAAAAGCACCCAGAGGAGGACGCCCTTTGCTTGGTAAGGGCAAATAACCCATGCATCAGAGGATTGTTTCGCAAAAACACCAATATGATGGGCGCCTACTGCTTGGTATTCAAAGGGGAATTTTGTGGAAACCTACCATTGTTTTCCTTTTCAGAGGACTATTTCGAGAAAAAATAGATGGACGCCTTTCGCTCGGCATTCAAAGGGGAACCCAATGGAAACCCACCATTTTAACAACTTTAAGTGACTATTTTGAGAAACGAAAACATACGATGCACGCCTTTTGCCCGACACTCAAAGGGGAACCCAATGGAAAATCAACACTTTTAACCATGTCAGGGGACGATTTTGAGAAACATATGATGCACGCCTGTTTGGTATTCAAAGGAAAACCCCATGGAAGCCAACCCAAACTTCGAGAAAACCAAAGCATATGGACGCCTGTTGCGTGTTGTTTAAAGGGAAGCCAACAAACACTCACCATGTTCGGGCTGTCCTTAGATCCCCGGCTAAAAGCTTCACTTGTGAAACCCCCACTAAACCAACTCAAAACAACTCAAAACCGACGGACCCAACGGAAACCCCTCCCCACTAAACCGACTGAAAACCACTCAAAACCAACGGAAACCCCCACTAAACCAACTAAAAGCCACCTACAACGGCAAGCCCCATGACACTAGACCAACTAACAACCACTGATTTTCACTAAACCAACTACAAAATGACTTAAACCAACTAACAACCACTGATTTTCACTAAACCAACTACAAAATGACTTAAACCAACTAACAACCACTGATTTTCACTAAACCAACTACAAAAGGACTCCAAAAAACGCACCTTCAGGAACCGCAGGGCTGGGAACCCGAACCCTCCACGGGTCTCGCTCGGGTCCCTCCGAGGCGCGAGATCCCGGACCTGGAGCTCGAGCCGCTGCAGCAGCCGGAGGCTCTGGTCGAAGAAGCCCAGGCCCGCGCCTCGCCGAAGCCCGGGGCCGAGTTACGGGTCCGAGTCACGGGTCCGCCGGCAGCGGCTGGGGGTCCAAGCGGACGGGAAGGTCTGAAGCCGGAGGTCCCGGTTCTTGCATGGAGAAAGGAAAAATCGAGCAAGCGTCATGCTTGGTTTGGAAGAAAAGACGTGCAATGGATCTGAAGTTCAGCTAGACAAGGTGGTTTGAATGGCCCAAATGTATCCTTCGCACCCTAAAAACGGTAGAAATGGCGAGAACAAGACCTTCAGTAGAGTTCATAGCCACATGAGCCACAGTCAACACATGCTGTCTGAATGGGCAGGGGAACCTGATCTTATCCCAAAATGGACCATCCGGACCATCTACATGTTTCACCGAACACATAACCCAGGAATTGTCTGACCCATGTCTCTGAGAGATGCCAAATGGAGGTTGATCAAAAGGTCCGGGATGACCATTACGGGAAACCGCTCAAAAGATGATACTTCCTACTAAATGTAAGAAGCTCCCACGGTCATTTGGGGGGCAGAATATTGATCAGCGCCCAAATAGATGTCTTTTGATGGAAGGTTCCCTTTTGGGAACTTCCCAAAGGAGACCCAAATTCACACGGCCCATGTTGCAGCCACGCGTGCAAACATGGGCCCACTTCGAATCGATGAAAAAAGACCATAGCCGACTGCCCTCAAGTCCGCTGAACTCCGCCAGTTGCTGTCTCAAACCATCTGGCGGTGGGTCAAAAATAGGGTAACCCCGAAATGGCTTGCTCGCTGGGAAAGTGGCAACATGGACGCCAAAACCTACTGCCCGAGTCCTGGTTTAACTTTGACCCACACCCAACAGTCCAGGCCTGTGCCGACGGCAATGACCGGAAAGCTGGGGTGAGCAGCGCACACAGCCCCGCGGCCGTCTTGCCTGTGCTCCAGCGAAACGCCAAAGCTGCATGCCATCCATGAGGGAGTTGCTCGAAAAAGAAAAAACAACGAAAAGAACATACCAAGATGGCTTTGTCTTTTGTTGAACCCCGCCAAGATGGCGCCTTTCTTTTGGCTCTCTGTAAGGCACACCCCAAAAGCGGGTGGGGGATACCAACAAAAAGAGCCGCATGACCCATATCTTTGATCACAGCCTCATTGCCGGTGCTCGGCGCGCACATTGTCACATTGCGTCCAGCTAATCTGAGAGCGTATCTTTGTTTGTGTGTGTGTGTGCGTGCCCGTGTGCGAGTGCGTGTGTGAGTGTGTGTGTGTGTGTGCGTGATTGGCTAGCTCCGGAGAACCTGGGAAACAAACACTTCTGGCAGGCAGATGTGTTTGTTCTTGTCACCGGTTCTGCAAAACCTTACAGCAAGCTTCGAAGCTATGACTGGAAGCTTGATATTCTGCTGCGCAAAGCTGCTGATCCCATCTGAGAATCTGGGTCGATAAAAGTTTGGAACAGTGACGAGACACAAATACTAATGATTGCAGATGTTCAGCTCAAATGTGGGGTCCTTTCGCGGCGGATGTTGTTTTTGAGTGGAACGCCACACAAGTGGGGGGAGGGCTGGCCGGCGGCGGGGGCAACAGGGACTGGCCCAAGGAATCAAGGGAAGGTTCAATGTGACACGAACATAGGTGGCCTTTGGGAAAAATAGATGGCCCTGGTGAATGAAATAAACCCCATCTAAACCAGTGCCATCTATTATTAACCAAAGTCACCCAAAAAGGACACCCATGGACACGAGATCTTTCTGCAGAAATCCAGGATCTTTCTGCATCTTGGGCGGGATGTCCAATCCAAATAAGATGACGGCGTAGAGTAGCATTCCACCAAGCATCTCTCTTGCTGTTGTGTGTTTTGCCATTCGGCCTTGGACGTGCATCTGCGGGGCGCTCAAAAGGGCTTGATCTGTATGAACCGGGCCCTCGCAGAAATGACTTCAAGTGGCATGGTGCCAACAGAATTGAAAGTCCAAAACACACTGCCGCTTGTCGCACCCATCTCGCCCTCCAATACCAGGCGTTGCAGTTGTCCCAACGCCAGCCGCGATGGGCTTGTGCCGCTTCGGAGGTCTCCGTGCCCTCCCGCACCACGTCACCACGTCCTCTTTCGGGCGGTCCGCTTGCGGAACTTCGGCCGTGTCAAAGTCTCGGCTCAGCTCTTCGGCTCTCTCGGCTGCCGCAGACTCATGGCACCTCGCTGCGCAGCTGCCGCACCCCGGCCAAAGCGGTTGGGGAAGTGACGCGCAAACCGAAGCCCGACCATCACCTTGCGCCCACCGGGGCATCTTCAAATTGATCCATGTGTGCACATGTCAAGCCTTGGCCCTGTAAAAATGCTCTCAAAGACAATGAACGTAGGAACTCAATGCTTAACCCCAAGCCCAAGTGCCTGTGATTGCAACTTTTCCAGGACATCGGCCAGAAGATCTGGCAGATTCATGTCACACGAGTCTATGGAGATCGGACAGTTGCGGCCTTCGCACACAACTTCTACGTGTCGGCGGGTGTGCAGCTCTGAGCACCTTGGAAGATGTCTCGAAAGATGCAGCCTGCCTATCTGCATAAAGAGAGAGCGCAAAGTTCCTTTGGAACAACTGCACTTCGCCCTCTTCAGCATAGAAACTACTATCGACGTGCATGCAAAAAGTTGGCTGAACCTTTCCACAGAGACATGCCCCCGCGAAGACAATCGAATGCATGACAGGCAACAGCAGTCCAGTTTGGGGGGGGCGCACTTGGCATGTCCCGTCCAAAGAATCTGTGTCGCGCGGGCAGAGCAAAGCCCTCCCGGTCACGACTTCGGCTAGCCAAGGGAACGCGCGGACCAGCGCCGCATGACCAGCCCTCTTGCCTTTCCCAGCACGCTCAAAAGGAGAAGGAAGGTGCCGTAGCCTGTTCAAAGAAACCCGATGCAAATTATTGTTGGGCTATCCTCAGATCCCCTGCTAAAAGCGACTAACTTTTAGAAAGCTTTCAAAAAGAAGCTAAGGAACCAGGGTTGAAGTCGGATCAGGAACCGGATGGCTTAAAACCCACCAAGCTGGCCCTCAGGCCCTGGCCTTGATGAGGGAACTGCAGCCCATACTCAGCTTCATCCTCTCAGCTCTCCGACTGTACCGGAACCCAATGGGGCGGTTTTTGGGAAAAAATATCCGCCGTGTCTTGCAGGCCATCCTCTGGAAAAGAAGCCAATTGGGGTGAACCATCATTGGGGGCTGTGGTGCCTGTGCAGGCGGGGGGGGGGGTGGGGGTGGATCCCCCAGTGTTTTAAGCGCCAAGTGCACATCGAAGAGAAAATCTGAGTATCCGCATGTGGAGCTGAGACAGCTGCATCTTGTACTGACCAGGCCCAAGCTCCTCGGAATGAGTTAGCTGCTGAGGTGACAGTGTAGAGCTTGAGTCGCCGGCATTTGGCTGCTTCTGGTAAGTCGGTGACAAGCCTTTCAGACAATCCTCCTGCCACGAACTCAGGAACGTTCTGAACTCGTTGCATGGCAGGGTGCGTGTCAAACAGTGGAACCTCCCCATTTTGGGTGGTTCCTTTTGGCTTCCCTTTAAATCAACCCAACATAGGTTCCCCCGAAAAACAGACTACAATTGCTAAAAGGCCACAACTTGGACAATGTCAAGCATCTTGCCATCGCCTTGTCTACGCGCTTCTCTTTGCTGAAGGAAAATCTCGGAGCAGATCTTGCCTTGGGCAAAAGGACAAGAAAAAGGTCTCGCTGCCATGCCTGTTGCATTCCGCGTGTTTCATCAACAGCTTCATGCTTGTGGGAATGATCTTGAGGTCTATTTGGATATTTCCTCAGCAGGCGACTCCTATACATGCATTCCCCCCCTTTTCAAGGAAGCTCCCATTTGAGCCATCCAACAGAATTATTTGTTCAAGAGGTCGCCCTTCTCGCCCCAAATGTTCACAGACCAGCTTCTGACCCAACCGAACGCTTAAAATGTGAGTGGCGGTTCAGCCCGTAAGCGTCTTCGGTTTTTGGGCAGAGACATACTTAGATGGTCTGGGAGGAGTCGCTACGTGGATAGTAACCCTGTTTGTCCCCCACCAAAGGCGTGGTGGAAAGTTTTCTACCAGGGTTACTACCCTCCCACCAACTAACATGGAAGTGCACAAAACCCCTTTCCAAGAGGAAAGTAATCTTCTTACAGGGGTCTGTGCACTTCCATGTTAGTCGGTGGCAGGGTAACCATTCGGCGATTCGTCCAAGGCCTCTCTTCCAAGGGGCGCGTGTCAGGCGGGAGGCCAAGACCTCACAGTCTGCCCGCTTCGCTCGCCGGTGAACGTTGCCCCGAAAGGGACCGGTCCCTTGGGCAAGGGCTTCTATTTTTATATATAAACAGATACAGGACCCCCCTCCAATACCAAGGTTTTCCTGCTGAAACCAGTACGTGTTGCAGGCTTTTTGGCATAGAAAGCCTTTTTTGAGGAAAACCTGGAGTTGATGCTAAAGATGAGAACATGTGTTCGATATCTGTGATGATACATGTACATCTTGCAAGGACGCCTGAAATCAGGATGGGGACTGCAAATAATATTAGATGAGTATAGACAGATCAACAAGATTCAGTGGAGTTTAGGCGGACTCTTGTGGGGAGGGGGGGGCCTGCGTGGCAACTCTTAGGGGGAGGGGGGGGGGGGTCCAGTGTTGGGTTTATAAACCCTGTGTTGGCTGGCTGTATGGCAAATGGATTTTTTTTGTTTGGGATATTCAAATCTTCGATCCAGGTGAACACATCTTTATTTGGAGCACCTGAAATGTAGAATCTGAATATCTGAACCTCCGAAATATCAATTGCGAGTTTATTTGCAAATGTTACTTCAAATTGAACTGACATTTTGATTAGAATTTATAAGGACATAGCTCACCTGAAATTCTATATTATGTTGGAATTCAAATAGGAATTCCTTTCCAAATCGGAGGTAAAGGCAATAATTCAATTGAACATAATCTCAAATAGGAATTCATTCCCAAATGTATTTAGATTAAATGTGGCTCAAACAATATGGTATTTGTTTTCATGACGACACCGATTCCACCAGAACTTAGATCTTACACTAGGGCTTGAAAATGAGCTCCCTTGCAAACATGGTTTTAATTAAATGTCAATTGGAATGTTAAATAGAATCTACTAATGACAAGGTTTTGCATTGCTAGTCGTTATTCTTTTGTTTGCACTATGGACCTTGTTGGTCCGGATTTTCTGGCCTGTGAAAGTTTCAGAGCTTTCATCTTCTTCAGGTTCTGTTTTTTGGGCTTGTGCAGGTTTCAGAGCGGGGGAAAGTTTGGCATTTCAGAAAGGTTGGTTCACACAACCATGAAGGCTGGATTTCACCAAACGCGCTCAAATGAGGTTGGGTCAACATACTTGGTATGGCAACCATTTGAGAATCAACTGGACATGGTTTTTCGTGGTGTTGCTTGGTGTGCCACGTATGGCCAAATGATTGGAACGGTCATCAGCCCCCCCCCTTACCGATGGCCTCAGGTTCCTGACTGGCATTTTTACTGGGCTCAAGCTGCCAAAAACAGAATGTGTTGCTTTGCTATGTGTACTCAAAACCAGTGTAAACACCAAAGTTTTCAAACAAAGCCATGCTTGAAGCTCCACACATAACCCGTTTTGGACTTATTGCCTTTCAATCCTCAAAAGACGAAGCACCTGCTACCTAGAGAAGGTAACAAATCATCAACAACACTGTATGTTGCAGTGATTTCAGTCATTTGGAAAAAAGAGAAGTGCAGAGTAGATATGACGCTTTCCAACTAGTGGCCATCCACCCCCACCTACCTTACTACACACCAACTACGCAAAACCTCCTATTTTAGAGACAGAACGGTGAGCACACTACCCCCCCTCGCCCCCTGATACCCAGTTTTTTGGGGTAAGACGTTTGTTGTTGCACGGGTTTTACGGGTTAGAGATGTTGGTTGCACATTGTCATGTTGAAAAGTGAGAATCGAAGGGAAACAGCTTTGTGTCTCAACAGAATCTTCTTGGGCTTGGCGCATCTTGTGTCCTGTTGTTGGCTTCTCCAGTCAGAGCAAGTTTCAGTTTCTCTCTTGCCGAGGTCTCCGACGCGGAACAGCATTCCCTTTACTGAAGCGCTGGTGATGCTCAGGTTCTTCGGCAGCC